AAATATTTTTTTTCTGTTTTTTTTTACAATTATATGATGAAATTAATAAAATCAAATAAATTTCTATTTAATGTGTACAATTCCAACTCTATACAAAATAATCATAAAAAATTTATATTAAAAATATCTAGTTGATTGTACCATGTAGCTAATTCAATAAATGTATTATAATTTTTTAAGAACGCAAGTAGGTACTGACGTATGAAACTTTCAGCACGATCGTTAAAATAAAAAAAAAAAAAAAATGTTTTTTGGGAGAACAAATTAATAATTTACCCTTGAATAATTTTACAAAACAAAAAATAAAAAGATACGTTAGATGCCCGCTAAATTCATCATGAGACTATTTGAAATTACTAGATAAATTTTGTATGCTCGAGCTGTATTCATTCATTTGTCAACCATTAACTAATTGAGTATAAGGTTAAAGAGTTAAATAAAAATGATCAATTTACCATTAATCGAGTTATGGTGAATTCAACCAATGACTTATAAAAAATTGCATGACCGATAAATAAATAAATAAATAAATAAATAAATATATTAAAAAAACACGTGTGTATACCCCCTTCGAGCATATGGATGAAAAAACGAAGCAACGTTAACCTCCAACTTGCAAGATTTTCGCGTGCCATCGACTACCGTCGACACCGACAAGCATTTTACTAAAAAACCTTTTCCTGCCATGCTTCTGGTGCTTCGACGTTTACGACAACGACGACGACGACACTTGGATTCATAACGGTATTCCGGCGAAAGAGCAAAAAAAAACAACCTTGCCCCCCCTCTCTCTCTCTCTCTCTCTCGAGAAAACTCTTCCGATCGATCGGACATTTAGGCTCCCCTGTCACCGAGAACCAGCAGCAACGATGCAACGGCAATGAGAATGCAGGGAAACACCAGCACGAGCAAGACACCGTAAAAGAGCATCGTCGCAGCGATGGCCGAGAAACGTGCCGGCCGCCGGAAGCCGTTGGCCGCTACGACGGCATCCCCGAGAGAGCAGCGCGAGTCGGGGGGAGCAAAAGCTGCTGCCGGAGGTGCTCCACCACCACCACCTGCGGGGCCAGGAAGAACCGGAGGCGGAGGAGCAGAGCGGGCTGCCACGGCTTCCACGAGCGCGTCCCTGGTATCGTCGAGGGGCCGGCGGGTCGTTCGGGAGATGGTAATAATCAATATCAGCTTTGGTCAACGCATTTAGGGTTGGTCATTGCAACGACCGAGTGAACGAAACGTAACTCAAAGTTTGGTCATTCGAGAAAGGCTTGGGTCGAGTTTTCAAGACAACCGATCAGGAGTTTCGCCTGCACGAGATCACCGGCGACGGGAACTGCATGTTCCGGGCCGTCAGCTTTATACTCTGGGGCACGGAGAGCAGGCACAGATATCTCCGCTCGCTGGTATTTCACACGCACTTTTTATATACCAAGTACCGATTTTTTTTTTCAAATCCAAGACATACCGATCAATCGGTTTATTATCTCGACATTATATCATTGACGCGGCAATCGTCACTTTTCCGTTGAAAAAACACGCCATTCCGTGCTGGTTACTACATCACACGGTAATCTTCAGTGTTCAAATAGCATACTCGTGTTTGAAGTTCCAATACTTATAATGTACATATTGTTTCTCTTCTATTTGAATTGCCACTCGGCAATACACGTAATTATCCAATACACTGGAGTACGAGTGTACAGGAATAAAAGTAACCGAACATAGAGATTCGTTATTGGTCCTCGATGCGCAGGTGGTGAGCCACATCGAGGACTCGTGGCGGGAGTTAAAGTCGTTGGTGCTCGCCGAGTGGAACATACGAAGCGCGAGCGATTACGCGAGCCACATGGGGGCGAACGGGACCTTCGCGAGCGAGCTCGAGTGCGTGATAGCCACCAAACTGAACAAGCTCAGCCTGTCGATATACCGGCGAGCCGATGCCTCGGGCAACCTCAGGCGGGTCCTCTACAGCGAGTTGGGCAGACGCGCCGGCATCGCCAATCTCCTGTTCAGCGGGCGCAACGAGTGCGGCCACTACGACGTGCTCCTCCCGCTGTTGGCTGGCAATAGGTCATGATTCTTGTTTTTCGATTAATAGAGACGCTTTGCTCAAAAATTACTCCTTGTACAAATGCGCGTCTATACTTGTATATGTTTCATAATAAACTTTTTTTTTTACTTGCATCAACATCTCGGAGCGTCCGAGTGGGAGCTTTTATTTTGTTATTTTAGACGACAATGCGATTCGTACCTCTACGAGAAATTCATACAAAAAACAAACAAACGCTAAATCAACCTTACTTTGCTATAGATAATAAATATATGTATGTGCTTTGTGATATTATTCACCACATTTTTCTTCTTTTTTTTTTAAATAAGTACTCGTGGCTGTGGTGATACCTCGCATTGTGTGCTTTTTCCATTGTCTGGTACACACCACACCCCCTCCCCCCTTCGTGATGCGAATTTGAGAATTTTCACGTGTCCAGCCACCTCGTGAACGCCGTTATTCCCGCGTACAGCTTACAGCTAAACAAAAAATACACGAGTCTGTAAATTTATTGCATTGTTGCGTCAACCGAAATTCACGAGCTCGCTCGATAAAGAGTATAATGCCTTACCTGAGCTGATAAAACACCTTGGAGCTCCAGGTCGTGCTGATGCAGCACATATCCCGTTGGACGGCCTGTACGACTCCTTTGGCGATTTCCCGCTCGTTTTGCTCGATCGACCTGCAAACGAAAAAAAAAAAAAAAAAAAACACGCAGAGGAGAGAAAATTAAAAATAAAAAAAAAATAAAAATAACTACAACCACCCCCCGTGCGTTACCTTACCTCGGCTCGGCTCTCGGCGCCACAGTCATAAACGTCAGTCTACTCCCGCGACCGCTCAACTGCTCCCCGAGACTCTCCATCAATCCTGCAACCATAAAATATATATATATATGTATTATAGGGAATGGAATTGAACAAAGTTTATACACGTGGTGCACCAGTACGCGTATTTGCACGAAAGGAACCCCGTTGTCTAATTAAAAACAAAACTGTGGATGGGGACGGGTAACAATAAGTGATAGGATACGCAAACCTGCGATCGCGGCTTTCGAGCCCATGTAGGCGTCCTCCGTGGAAACGCTTGGCGTGACTCCAATGACGTGGGCTCTCTCGCGGTTGAGCATCGACGGCAGAAAGGCCAGTACCGTCTGCGAAATGGGCATCGGGTAAAATGAGTGTTTCACCGTAGATTATCGAAAAAAAAAAAAAAAAAAACGGTTGGGCTCACCCAGTAGTGGCTCATGAGGGTCTGGCTGATGGTGTCGAGGAGCCCCTGGCCCGAACTGCCGGCGCAGGTGACGAGCACGTCTACCCGGCCCACGTCCTCCCTGACCTTCTCGGCCAACTCCTTTATCTCGTCCCTGTCCCAGAGGTTGCAGCGATATGCCAACCCGCCATTGGCCAGTGGGCGCCGTACCCTCGACGTTACTCCCTTGGCGTCCCGGTACCTCGGGCCGATCCGCTCCATCCCCGGGTATCGGGCGCGTACGCGCGAAGCCGTCTCCTCGACGTTGCTCTCGGCCCCGTCCACGCAGATCACCGAGCAGCCCCCTCGGGCGAACTCCTCGGCCAGCGACGAGCCTAAGCTCGAGGTGGCTCCTGTTACCTTTTTTTTTTTTTTTTTTTACTATATAGATCAAGATCTTCGGCTATGTGCCCAAGTTGCTTCTTCGAATAATTATTCATATTTGTTTTGTGCTACAACGACTTTAACACGAACCAATGCACACTTGTTCCAAGTTTTTTATCAAATTTCAACCCAAGTTTATTGATTGACTGGTGAAGTATTGTTTAGTAAATTTGTTTTTTGTTTTTTTTTTTCATTGACTTTCACTCGTCAATATCTTGGAAAAGAAGTATACGTATTGGATAAATGTATGAACGACCCCGAATGATGTATAGTATTGTATTTATTCATGCATTACGATGGATTTGCGAGGATGTTTAGGAAAAATACCGTGAGAATCTCACGAGGTGCTCGTATCTAAGGGTATGCGAAAAATTAAGTGTACATAGGTTTGTGGGCGTGGATGAAAAATTACTCAGCAGTTGGTTTTTACCAGCACGACGTCACCGGTGAGGTCACGGGGTGGCTTGGGTAGTGCAGACTTGACTGCAGCGAGAAGGACGAGGAATCCGGAAACGGCGAGTCCCAAGAGAAATTCGAAGCTCAAATAAAACCAAGTGACGGACGAAGGGCCCGTTGGCCCCGATGACACAGCCTCCTCCCGTAATGCCAACATTGCTGTCTCTGTGAGCCTATCCTCACACTCTATTCCGTTACTTTACTCTTTTGTTCACTTTCGGTGTGGTGCTGTAAACAGATTACCTATATTGCAGTCATTGAGCCAGTAATGGTCGAAAATGGGATTATTGGTATTGATTTTTTTTTCCCCCATACTATGATACTATGTCAGATGCTCTTCGCACGATCCAAATGACAACTTTCGTACAACTAGTCACGTATGAATATTTTTCAACTTTATTACTCGATAACTGCACTACTCAAAGACAACATAATTTATAACATAATGTTTAAGTAAATAGACAGCGCTTTTTTTCATAATAACTAACGCATCGCATTGTAAAATTATGAAATTTCATTGTGCATTATTTCATTTTACAATAACTTTACTTTGCTAAAATTATTTTTCCAATTGTCTCTTGTAAAAGGACAAGAAGAATGAAATATTGTTGCTTCGGATCGTTTTTACATTAGAAATTTGTTTTTATCCAAATTATTCCTACATGTTTATATTATTACTGGATTTAATAACAAAGTGTAAAAAAAACACTTCCCGTCAGTACTTTTACAAGCTCGCAAGTCCATTTCACTCGATGCATGCGCTCGAAAAATCGCTCATGGTATTTTCAGCTTGTATGGTGTGTATTAATTAACTCATGCGATTCAATGTATACACACACACACACATATACACACACACATATATATACGATTCAATGTGTATATATATATATATATATATACCTCAACAACGTGACTGCAACCTTCCACGACTAACGAGACGCAACGACCCAGGAAGTATATTTATCGTGCGCTCGACTCAAACCACGTGCTCGTTATAATGTAGATTTATCATTGATTTGTAAACTCGGTTATTCTGACATTTGCTTTAATAGACCGAATTTGCCGCACCGAATTTACCGCACAACAACAACAACAAAAAATAGATACCCATTGGCTTTGTGAGTTACTTTCGTTCTCTTTTCCATCTCATTTCGAATAATCCGCGAGACATTGATAATCTTACGTAATGCACGGATTTTTCGTCACTCCATACTTTGCAGGCTGGCTCGATCGTTATCATATACAAAAAAAATAAATAAATCGGTTGCTACACGTGAATTTGTATGTATATACGCATAAACTTACGTAACACTGACAGCTGCAGGTTTTTGGATATGTATACGTTCATACGTGTACGTATTGCTGTATGTGCTTTATGGGATTTTTATATTTAATTAAATGACAACGTATGAAAAATTGATTTCGATTGATGAATGGATCAATTTTGTCTATTCGTACACAGATCTATGGTCCACGAATAAACACATTAACGCAATTGAGTTTAACCAGATCTGTATTATTTTCGCAAGTGATACAATGATTATATACTACTATTGGAAAGATTTACAGTAATCTATAGTGTGACAATGAATATTACTGTTTTTTGGATTGACTCATAATTAATCATTATTATTTGAAGTTTTTTTTTTTTTTAATTACCACTAAAAATCGTTAAATTATTCATGTGATGTATACGTTATTGCGACAAATATGTATAGGGTAAATTTTTAGTTTATTTCGAAAAATATTGGTAAAAAATACATTTTTTGTCAATAATTTTATTTGATCGAAACGAAACCAAAGACAGTTATCCCATTTGATTGAATATCGTCCGGAATTGTTACAAAAATATAACATTACAGAAAAAAATGCGATTCGTTCATTTATCCTTCTATCAATATGCTAGACTACAATCATTTTTTTTATTTGTTAGACTGTAAATTTTAATGGTTTCCTAAAACTATAAAGTAATTTTAAACTGATTTTGACAAATATAATAATAATTTTTCTCGCACACGAGACAGTCCGATGATAATAAATTGAGAAAAAATTCATCCCATATTTATATTGCACGAAGGGAAAACCAAGTCACAAATCGTACATGACGTTCACAACAAAAGAAGGATATGACTTTTTTTGACAACTCCTTAATCATGGCATACATCTACCTTGTACCACTGAACATTAATGTTATAAAAAAAAAAAATAATAATAATAATAATAATCGGGACATCCGTACCGCACTTACTCCACGAGCATATAATAAATCACTTTGAGAAGTACGCTGGTAATAGTTTAGCAGTGAGATATTGCGCACGTGCCTGCACTGTATATACTTCAACGCATGTATATCCATCATGTACGTGCCTTTCTTCTCACGCACGTGCGCCCCACCTATAGTGTGATTTTATGTACTTAATATCGGTAAAAAAATAGTAATAACCAATGTAGCCGAACTTGTTGTTCTGTGTTATACAACTCGGTATGGTCGCTTACAGTGCACGGCTTGGCCACATTATCGTAAACTGGTGCAGTATAGGTTTGTTGTGCATAAATATGTGCGCGTAGTAAATACGTAATCGTAAAAGGTCCAGCATTCGTCTGAAAAATTATAGGATTCAAGTGGTGGTTGTCGAAATTGAAGATTGGCGCATACGTAGGCGTTGGTGATGAGTTCACGTTTCATAGCACAAAGTTTGGATGTCTAATTTCCACATTTCCATGCATTATACTTTAATTGCATTTTTTTTTTTTTTTTTTTTTTTTTTTTTTTTTTNTTTTTTTTTTTTTTTTTTATAAATTATTTCCGCCTCTTAATTACGCATAATGTGTGAATTTCATCAAGGTGACAATAGACGTGCGATAACAGACATCAAATTTTTATTCTATCGAAGCGAACGAACCCGGAAAATGACTTTCGCTCGAGACTCCAGAGCTGTTGCACTGGCCTAAATTGCGCCAAGGAACACACGTACGCGCGTATATCATATATGCCCGATTAATGTGCCTATATACATGCACACCACCTTTATAGACCGAGATGAAGGCAGTACAGCCACAAGAAAGTCGAACAAATCGACCTGAAATTTTTTTTGTTTTTCCTTTTCTTTAAGCTTCGAGCGCAACAGTGAAAATTGCGAAAAAAAAAAAAATCCATTGTGTCAGTCTGGGAAGTAAAATAATAAGAGAAAAAAAAAAAAAGTTGCAAAGTGTGCAGGGCACGTGCACCGTTTCAATCACGATTACAACTGTCGTTCTAAAAAAAGCCTACAGTTGTACCCCACTATTTTGGTCACCGAGTAGAGATTGACGATTGAAAAGTTTGTGGTATCACGATGTTGCAAATCCGCTGTGTGAGAGAAAAAAAATTTATCTGGAAACGATGAAGTATTGCAAATCTGAATTTTGTTACAATTTTTGTTCATGATGTACTGTATAACATATACATATCTCGATGTATTATAATTGTTTACAATGGATATCTTAAAAATAACGCTTTTACTCTTTCAGCAAAAAGATAAAGCGTATCGGTAAAATGTAAGTTTCATTCACCAAACCCTATACATAATAAATACGTATTCTGTGGAGTGTACAAGTACACGCGCGGGCGCCAATTATCGAGCTTTATTGTTCGTGGGCAGTACAATCCAAGGTGATTTTCCGGCTTGTGTATCGGCAGTATTGGTACACGGACGCTCGCTTTGTCGACTTTTCCCGAGAGTAGATTTCCGACATAGATGGTATACATATACACACGCGTGCACGCACGCCAAAGTTAAGGATAGCCTCTTGTACGTGCTGACGTAAAAGTTACACAAATGTGCAGCAATAAGCCGAATTACCCGACGTAATCATTTGATTGGGAGAAATTATGTTTTCGCGTGTGCACGAGACTACGCGCAGCTATGTACCTATACCGTAACTTTTGGCGAAGTAATGGTATACACATATATACATGTATACCTGTGCGGGCGCCCGATGCCATTTTTTGGTATTTTTTTCTCCTGAGAATCGAGATGGTGGTTCATGAGTATAAGTACAGTACGAGTTTGTGTTTTAATGGCTTTGGCTGTTCGCTGAGTTGGGATTGGCAGTCAATGACAGGCGATTGGTTTTAATAATTTTTGCAAAATTTATCGTGTACTTTTCTGTACTGAACATTAGTTTTGACAAAAATGGATTATCCCTGTCTCTCTTAAGTATGAATGCTCTGATTTGAAAATAGCTGATACTAAACAAACAGTGAACAGAGCGAGATAACATTGGCAAATACTTTTTGTTGGAGGCTTCATTACTCATTAAATTTATACATTAAAAAAGATAAGTGCTAATATTTTACACTACCTTTATTTGCACAATCGAAACTTGAACTTTTTAATATACTTCACGAATTTTATTTCCAATTTATTATATTTACATTTTTACAATTGAAAAATAAATAGATCACTATGATGATTTTCCATTTAATAAATCAGATTCGGTGGAATAATAGTGACAATTTTTTTTTTCGATTCACAGATGGGAATGAGAAATGAATCCGATTTGAAATTTTGAGATTGATTTATAAAATGTTTTCAAGCAAATTATCATAAATTGATATTGCATGTAAAATATTTCAATGGTATGGAAACAAGTTGCAAAAAGTTCTAAGAGAATTCTGATTAATACTTGAATCTTAGACTTCGAAGAAATCACTCTTGAGTGTGACTACTTATATTGTAATTATACACGTGGCAGTTTGATAAATTACGTTTGAATTTTTTTTTTTTTTTTTTTGTAATGATGAACCTAAAGTATGCAAATATAAATACTGTATCATGTGAAAAATGGTAAAAAAAAGGTAAATTGAAAAGTCACACTGAAAAAACACTTTACTACAGAGTTTAATGTTTGTAAATTCAAAGTAACATCGTTAACAAATCGATCTAAAAAGTATATTGACTACTTATTAAAAAAATTCCAATATTCATAACAAAATGTCACTTTGCACAATGAATCTCAAATACTCATTAACAAGTCAAGTAAATTACAAACGATTAAATTTTTTTTTTCTTTTTACTTTCAAAGACAACACCTGCTTTCCTGATGCTCATTATTTTTCACTCACCTGCGTAACCAGCAATACATTATATTTCGTGCATTCAAACGAGGAAACGACAGTTCCGCGTCATTGGCTTTTTTATCCTTAGATAATAACGGCCCCGGAAGAAAAATCTCAGCCATCGTAGAGAGAACTGACGCAACGACAGAACTGCCTTTTTGCGACTAATTTTTCATAATCTTCGTGCAAACTACGTATCCGAGTTCGATTATGTTTTCCTTGAAACACCTGTACATATATCACAACACGATTTTGATGATTTCTGGCTAATTGGTTTGCGGGTATAAAAAAGTTTGAAATTAAGTATCCGTTTTACAAAAAAATTCTTCGACTCCGAGGCATCAATGATAATTTATGCTTATACATTTCCACGATTGCATGTTTTTTTTGTAATTATTTTACTTTATTCGCGAACAATATAAGAATTTCAAGAGTAAATGCTACTCGTAGGTATCAACTAAACCAAAATGTCACTTCAGCTAATTGCATTTTAACGCCTCAAACGCTGTTACGTGATACCATCGAGAAAAAATAAATTATTCTTCTCACGCGTAATAAAAAATACATACATTGGAAACGCATTAAAAACAATACCCAATCTTTTTTTGCAACAACTCAACGGATGTATTCAATTGTCCGCTCTTTTGTAATATTTTTTTTTTTTTTATCATTTCACTTATGCGTTTATACATTTACGGACAAATCGTGATGTAATTAAAAGTCCTGACTACGTTAAATTACCGCAGATGATTTCGAGAGATCTTCTTTAAGCAAAAGCACGAGCGTTATTGGCATCACTTTGTTTCCGATTTCCATTCATTACATCAGAGCCAGAAGCGACATGCAGTTTACGCTCACGTAACTCGATTAATTTGTTTAAAATGTAGTTTATTGTTTTTTTAATTGGTATCAACTTGCCACCCGAAATGAAATAGATTGGTTACGTTAAGAATAAAATTTTCATGGTATACAGTTATTCGAGCAAAATATCCATTTATATTCTGGTACGTGGCCCATGAATCGTAACAGGACCATTAAATGCCAATCTTGAAACGAGTCATATCTATTGACTTTAAAAAAAAATTTCACTTAGCTAAATATACTCAATTAACAAGTTGCGCAACCTATCGGCATAAATTATTAATTATTGTATCAAAGCAATTTGCAATGAATAGAAAATCTTTATCGGGCATCGTGAATGGACATTAGTTTGTCGAGACATTCGGTAACTGTAAATTTTTTAGAAAAAACCAGTGAAAGCTTGATTAGACTGTACAGCGCAAACTTCAAAAGAATAAAAAAATCCAACGTGTGCCGCAAAAAGTGCAATGTAATTTCACGCTTTTTATCGCACGATTTTTCGCTTTGTAAAGAGCATAATACACCTTGGCATGCGATGATCGTTAAGAAAAAAAATAAAATAAAACACGTAACTCGTGATTTACCGCATTTTCACGACGAGCGTCGTAAAGGTTTTCCACGTTTTAACGACCCCATCCTGCACAGCCATGAAAAATTAGCCATCCTCGCGAGAGGCAGTTTATTTAAAGAATTGTCACTCCGTGCAAACACGAGAAAACGAAGAAGACGAGAAAATTTGTATACGTTAAGTATGCAGACTACACGAAAGCCATACCTAACCGAGTACACAGTGTGGCCAAGGATGTTTGCGAAATTTTTTTTTTTTTTTTTTTTCAAACCACGAGATTTTTGTTTACACGCTGGGACGCGAGAAAAGAGAGCCAAGTCCACTCGATGATTAAGAGCCACCTCCGATATGTAAAAACACTCGAGACAAGTGAAAAGCGTTTGCACACCGCTGACGGTGACGCAACGGAACGTACGTGATTTTTCCATTATTTTTCCAAGCTGAGCCACAAGAGAAATTTCAAACGAGCTTTTTACCTCTTGAACGAAAACTTGTCTAACTTCGAGATGATTACCTGCGAGGGTGGAACGACAGATCAACGTCGAGAGCTCCACTGTCTCCTGGCACTGCCAAGGGGAGCAAGCACAGTTTCGCGCGACATGAAAATTTCGGTGAAATGTCTCACACGTGCACCAAGGGTTAACTATACGGTACTTATGTTATCTCACGAAACGGAGAGAGGAAAATTCGCGCGTCCACTTTGGCGCGCGATCGGCGCGCGAGTGTTTGGTATAAGCTAAACGGAAAAGTTATGCACGCGCGGGAACTCTCACTCGCCCGACCTGTCTATCGGTGCGATGACGCGGGATGTAATACGTAATGCGCTGAGACTCGGTGGCCTGCAGGTCGTTACTATTGTGTGTTGTTGCTGTTACGTGGAGGAGCGAGAGAGCATGGGTTGTTGTAGTTGTTTCCGTTGGGTGTGCGATTGAACTTGGGTAATAGGTTTTTTTTTTTTTTTTTTTTTTTTGATGTGACGTTTTATAACGTATATTGTGGACCTTTCGTCAAATGACGGAAGTTTTTATGAGTGTATAATTAAATTATCCAGTTTCGCGGGTATTTTAGCAAAGATCTATTTTTTAGGATACGAAATTCTACATTATAAACCTTTTACGAAAAAGTGTATACTATTGACGTTTATTGAAAGTATTTTATTTTTAATATCATTTCGTGTAAATATAAAATCAAGAAAAGTAAATTTTAATACTTGTTATCAATTATTAAAATTTTTAGTGAATTAACGAATTTATTTTAATAAATAAGTTTAAGGAGCGGTGATACATTACACAGATAATTATCATTAAATAACTGAAATTTCGTTTTCCCATGACAATTTTCAACTTTCAATATCGAATGATATCTTGAAACTCATGTAAATTGCAATTTTTAAATGGTACGATGAATCCCAAAAACGCCACGAGAAGTCCTGAGAAACAAAAAAACCTCAGTAAACAAGAAATCGCTCATATGAACCATCCTCACGACACGTACGTGGCAAAATTACGGATGAGCTGTGGTGCATTAGTGCCGTTAGGCTCCTCTGAATTTTTTGATCTCATTTTTTGTCAATACAGCCAACTAAAAAAAAAAAAAAAAAAAATTTACAAGTGACGCACGCAGAGAAAAAACAAGTTCATGCAGTATAATTAAAGGTGTTGGAGAAAAAAAAAAAAATTTCGTTGCAGCTACGATTTTTTCCAGAAAAGTTTTCCTCAGCATTAGGAAAGAATAAAAAACTAATTTCTGTCGTCGCACATTTATACTATTATTTCATACTTATATGTAGGGATGATAATTTAAATTTACATTAGCTACTACGTAACATTTTGTATATTATTTAGTGCATCAATTTTATCATTAAAGTAACCTTATAGACACGGTATTTTTTATATTTAAAAAAAACTGTATTTATTCAATTGTAGTATGTGTTGTGACACCTAGAAATTATCTCTTTTAAGTGAGACGAATAATGTCTCCTCTGTACTGTTCGCACGTCAAAAGTCTGGGAGAAACGAGAGCGTGCAGGCTTTGTCCGTCTAAAAGATGTAAGGATGGAGGAAAGTAGGAAATAAATGTTTCGCAGGGCAACGAACTCAGTCGTTGTAGAGGATTCAAATTCAAGGGTGGAAGCTCTTGTCCGTCGTCACATCAGAGTAAGATAAAACAAATGAGTTATTAAAAAGAAAATTTTTCTGAAATTGTGTCGTAGTAAAATGTAGTACTTATGTATATATTTCAAGTTTTTATTTATTTTACTAAATTGACTAAAAATTTTTTATTTTTTATTTTCAGCTTCTTTTACATTTTTACTTCTTTCACAAAAAAATCAGTGTTAATTATTTTGATTATAATAAATTATGGTATTGCTACGAGTTTCAAGTAAAAAATGTTGTGTTGTATCGTAAGATAAAATATATTTACTTACATAAACAATTTAGAAGATAATTCTACAGTATGAATTTCAAAGTCGAACCCCAAAAATACTTTGTGTAGTTTTTCTCAACTTTTATCAACAACTAATTTAATGCTAAAGCCAATTTTCACTGGTTAGTTTTATGATAAAGAATATAACCCTGTTGGAGATAAAATCAGATAATATATTATAGACAAATAGATTAGTATAAAAGCACAAACAAATATCTTTTGACAATTTTTACATAAATATGTAATGGATATAAAAAAAAATGTATAAACTGCGAGTACATATTATCTCAAGTCGATTTGTCTAATGACTCTTAACTCAATCAACGTTTTATTATATTTATATATTTAACTGAATTGAAGCTGAACTGAAGATAGTTCTAATTGGAGTCAAAGGTGTTTATCCAATTTAAATAAAGAGAATGACCAATTACAGTACATGGAATTATAAGCGCGAGCAGAGTTTTTTACATCATAGTTTTATATATTATTTACTTTCTATTGTTGCCTGTTGCAATGATGCATTGTTCTTTACAATTCTAAATATAATAAAATGTCATAGGTTGTATATGTTAGGTAATGGTATTCTAGGAAATTTTTTAACGTAAGAATCAATTACTCGATAATATTATAACAAGACTTTGTGAAGTATCACTGTTTTTGTGACAATCGTGTTGAAACAGAGCCGTTCAAAACCTTATATTAATGCTACACGTGGATACTTTTAATTTTCAAACACATCTAAATGATCTCAGAACCACGTACTACAAATATATTCAAGTACTAATGGTATACCCAATGCTATACTTATTCCTACGATTATTGATGTATCAACCAACCAATATATTGATTTTTGTAAATATTTTAAATTAACATTTATTAACTTTCTTCTGTTTTCACTACGGTGCATAATGTCACAAAGATTTTTATGCAACAAGATATAATATTCAGGTAAATATCGCGCGCTCTAATCGATCAGCGTAAACGTAATCATGTTAATTAGAATTTATAGACACAGAAATAAAATGTCCACAAAATATCCATAGAGTTACTTATGAACTCATACGCATGTGTACATCTAGTGTCAACCACGTACTCACAGAATATACCCTTAAAAACCAATGAGATTGTAGGATTTGACTAGAATTAACTAATCTAATTTATAAACTTTCATGAAAATTCGGATAAATACGACTGACGCCGAATGCCAAATGCGCGTGGTAACTCTTATTTTTTTTTTTTTTTTTTTTTTATATCTTATTGAGCCGAAGAGTCGTAGTGGGAGTCATCAAGAGCTTAAGAATGGCATTGCTAAAGTGGCTGTTACCTCACGATTCTGTGCACTCCCTGGCTCGGCTGCGGTGCTCGCAACTCGCAAGTGATGATCCAATGGTAGGGCAGCTCGCCTCAAGTTATTGTCACCCTGAAAAAGTCACACCTAGTGCGCGTAGTATTTCTGTGAAATTCTGAATTTTATCAAATTTATTTACGTTATTTACTCCATATTTCCTACTGGCTGCTTACATACGAAACTTCTGCTTTTTAGTAATAAGGTAAGATTCTTATTCTATACATAAAAATATTATTTACATAATAATTGTCATAAAATAGGGGAATACTCAATTGGTTCTTAACAATTGTCAAACAATCAAACTGGAAAACGTACATCATCATTATGTACAATTATCAGAGGGATATTTGTTAAGTTTGATCATGCCGTAAATGTTTGCTGGTGAATATTATAATGACGGTTGAATGAAAAAATTTTATTGTTAAACGATAGTTTCATGCATTCTCTTATCTCGTGTAAAGGTAACCGACATTGTTACAACTCCGAGTCCTGGAAAACAGTAGTATGCTTGAGTTCACTCTCGGTCATGAAATCTAGTACTCGAGTTGAGTCCTATACACATAGATAACAAACTTTCCCTTTAATTGAACAAATTATTCCATCGCTCTTTATCCAAGCTTTGGACAGGCAGCACAAACACATACTGGCGAGTTTAAAAATTTGTTCAGTCGTTAAGAAAACAGTCCTCTACGTCATTGGGCTTCAAAAAAGGTAAACCGAAAAAATACTTAAGAAAGTTGCCGATTTCCGAATGAACATCTTTGTACTCCTGGGTGAGACCGACTTCTTGTATTTTTCTCCACCAACTCTGTCCCAGATGGAATCTACACCCACGTATTTTTGTACAGGGGAAAACTTTGTTTACAGCCAAATAAAACAAGCATCATTCAGGCCATGGAACGAAGACTAACGTGATTCATTTCTTACCGACGAAAATAAACATGATTCAATCTACTCTGTTGAAAATAAATACCATTCGTTTGGGGCTGTCGAAGACGATCATAATCCATTTCTCGATGTCGAAAACGAACATCATTCATGAAACGCCGACGAAAAGTAACATGATTCGTCTCGGGTCATCGAAGGCTATCATGATCCAGTTTGTGCTGTCGTATGTATGGAGGACATTATAATATAACAATTAGGACCTAGGAGAGAATACTACAGATATTTTACCGTAAAAACTAAGGTAATGCTGGGATATTATTATAGTTTTTAAACAAGGGTTTAGTTGATTTTACTGCAATTTACGATGATTATTTTTGTTTTTATTATGTATTGACAAGTTCTTTCAGATAATACAAATTTATTTGCACCCAAGTAAATTATATGTTTCGAAAATACTTTTCAAAAAATCATTATGACAGATGGTTGCGTTTGTTTAGTACTTCATTACTGAATGATTAGTTTTATAAAGAGGCCTAAAAAAATCTACAAGGCGTCGATATTTTTATGGCTTTCCAAATTTTATTATTATCTTAAAACTGAGTTCACTTTCGTTCATATATATTATTAGTAGTCTCCTTCAAAAATGCATCGACTGGATAATTATTTTCTATACTTTTTAAGTCTGGATCGCTCTGAAGAGTACAGCGAGCTACACAATAGTAGTAATTTTATATTAAAGTTGATCCACACTCTTAGGTTGCAAGAAATGTTTACATACGTTAAGAAAAATTATTTGATAATATTAAAATTAATTTGAAGGCATGCAATTTATAACTTTCGAGAAAATACTTACTGTTGAGAGAGAAGAGGCGGTACTCGTGATTTACGTGTAGACATTAAGTTAATGTAGAAAAATTGCATAAACTTACTAAACTCGATTGAACTAGAATAATTAATTTGAATTTTCATGACGGTCATGCTACGTCATGATCAGATCATTACGAATGATGTTCGTTTTCGACAACGAGAAATGAATAGTGCTTACGTTCGCAAGCACTCTTAAATGGTGTTTTTTTTTCGACAGTGAATCCACTATGAATCCTGCTTCTTTTCATATAGTCACTCGTGGATCACGTTAGTTTTCGTCGGGGCCATCGGGTGTGTGTGTGTGTGTGTGTGTGTGTGTGTGTGTGTGTGATTATAGACAGCCTCGTGTAAGTATTGTTGTTTTTATTTCTACTATGTCGATCAATCTCTAATAATATATTTACATCTTTTATTCGCTTATTCCAATTCTGGTGATTATCACAAATGTATTTATGAGTATAATATATTAGTCTCGTGTTTAAGTGACGAATTACGCGAAAAGTACCATTCTCAGTCGTTATAAATTTTAATGTTGTCACAAAAGTGCCATCGCTTCAGGGGTTATTTTGCGGCCCGAGTGACTGTAATATGTATAGCCCCGGATGGATGGCACTTGCGGGCTGAACACTTTTTCCTACCGACGGGACACCTGACCCTCAAAAACACCCAGGGTAGGAAAAAGTTGTTTAATATTAAATAGAATAAAAACGTATAGGCTCTACAATTTTTATCAGCACAATGCTTCATCAATAGCTATAACTTTATTAAGGTGAAAATTCCAAAATAACATGTATCAATAATAGATTAAGTATATTTACGTAGACATTCACGAAATTTTGGCTTTTCGTAAGTTAGTCATTTATAACAAATCGTACTTGAAAAATAATGATTCCGTTTTCATCAAGTCATCAACTTAAAAGTTCTCACTTGCGTTAAATTAAAAAATATAACTTTTCTGGAAAAAAATAGTCACAAAGCCAAAACTTTTTGTATGTATGATAATAAATATGCTGAATGATTTTAAAATTATTACGTAGCTGTAAGCCTTTTCGTGAAAATTATATACTTATTGGTATTGAAAAAATGTAAGTAACAAAAAAGAAAGAATGCGTATATTTTTAATTGATAAATTACCCAAGAATTTCGTTTTGAATCCCTTCAGTTGTAGCTTTTATAGTTTTATTAGTTATTTAATTAATTATTTAATTCAAACCTTGGTTCTTTTGCGAAAAGTTTTTTTTTTTTCAAATCATAGTACGTTGACCACCCACTGGAGTGTATGCACTGACTATATTATAAATACAATTTTATGTAAAGCCTTATTACAATTTCTGTCTCCGGATGTGTTTTATTTTCACAGAAAAAAGTTTCAATAACCATTGAAAACACCAGTTTTCTAAAATGCGTACCCAAGTGGTAATGCTGTTGATGATTCTACTGGTTGCAGACTCGTTTTGTCGCTCCTTGAATTTTACCTTTGAGGAATACATGAAAATACGAAAATCAATTATAAGCAATGAGTTCAACATAATGTTTGGCAGCGATCTCGTGTTAAATGATCAGGAGCAGGAGGCTAATAAAATTTTGATGGAGGCCAAACACCGCGAGATCGATGCAGGTTGTTACAAAATAAAACAATTGATTGACTATTTGATTTAGTATTATAAACAATTACGTTATTTAGAAAATGTAATTCTCATGATTTTTTAATAGCCCTGACAGGTTTATCCAAGTTTTTGCCATCGGAAAACTTTATCCAAGTTGTCGAAAAAATTGAAAAATCCTACGTCTTTAAAGTCATTCAAAAAATGCCAAAGGGTGCGATCCTCCACGTTCACAGCAAAGCCATGCCAACAGTAGACTACATCTTACGTACCGTCACGCACCATCCACATCTTTATGTTTGCGAAGAGAACGATAATATACAACTTCAGTTTTTCTCTACGCCCGACGAACACTGCAAATGGAAAATTCTCAGCGATGTCCGTCAAGTTGATGAAAACATCGATGATAGAATAAAGAGACAACTTACAACAAGAAATGATAATCTTAAATCGGCTAATTTAACGAAAAATACCATATGGGACAAGTTTGAGTCGATTTTTACTTTTTTAACTCCTTTATTGAACTACAGGCCAGTTTACGAGGATGTTTTATATCAAGGACTCTTGGATAATTACAATGACAATATCCTGTATCTGGAGCTACGGACGTCTCTGTCTCCGTTGTATGATATTAATGGTACAACTTATAATCAAACGGAAGTTGCAAGAATCAGTAAAAATGTTGTCGAAAGGTATGCAAACGGATGTTTAAAATTCCCTATAAAATTATTGTTCATTGTTTTAATAAGTTCAAATGGTAAATTAAACGCGCATCTGGCTTATTTAATTATTTCCAGGTTCCAGGATAAATATTCAGACTTTGTAGGAGCAAAACTCATCATAGCTCCGTGGCGTGGATGCAGTGATAAAAAATTCGAGGACCATTTGAGAGCAGCTGAGGAGCTGAAAAGAGAACTCCCGGACTTCATAGCCGGATTCGATCTCGTCGGTCAGGAGGACAAAGGCAAACCCCTTGTGGAGTTTGCCGAGGGGCTGCGCTCGATCGGCAACGATGTCCAGCTGTTCTTCCACTCCGGCAAGACCAACTGGTACGGGACGAGTGTGGATGAAAATCTCGTCGACGCTGTTTTGCTCAACACCAAAAGGATCGGCCACGGGTGACTATTTTTTTTTTCTTTCTTTGCCCCATCAGATGTAGATGTGGTAACATGTGATTGTTCCATTTGGAGGTTTGCGCTGCTAAAGCACCCGAAGGTCATGGAAATGGTGCGCGACAAGAGCATAGCGATCGAGGTGTCGCCGATTTCCAATCAAGTCCTGGGTCTGGTCAAGGACCTCCGCAACCATCCGGCAGCTGCACTTTTTGCCAACAATTACCCGGTCGTGGTGTCAAATGACGATCCTCTTATGTGGGGAGCTAAAGGTCTCAGTTACGATTTCTACGAAGCCTTTGTCGGGATAATGTCTCGAAGTGCTGATCTCAGGGCTTTGAAGAAACTCGCGCTCAATTCGATCGAGTACTCGAGTATGAATGTAGTGCAGAAGAAAAAAGCCAAAGAGATTTGGGATAGACGCTGGGAAAATTTTATTGATGATTTGAGGAGTTTTAATGAACAGCCTATAAGTCAGAAATCTATGGCATTAAACTAAATAATTCTAGGTTTCCATAATGTTGCCAAAACGCCGTACGGTATTTTTTATTTTTATAATTTTAGTTGAAAGAGAACTACTTGACCCATTGACTAAAATTAGGTAATTAAATCCCTAATGGTTATAACAAAATAAAAACAAATCTTCAATGATGTATTTGATCTTCAGTCATAGTGTCACTTTTAATGATTTTTTTTTTATTTATACTCGGCTCTTTTATAAATTATGCCAAAGAGTATTTTTTTCTGTACCATCAGGTGCACAACTCGATTTTGCAAATTTTTATCTTGTTTAATTTATATTGTTTATTGTTACGAACTACTTTAAATTATTTTTTCTTTACAACACCGTAATCATTATTATTGTAAAAAAAAACCAGGGGCCAACTTGTCTTGATTGTAAATGGTCCTTAAACATTCAACGGCAATGTTAATAAAAGAAAATTAATTTAATCAACTTTTTTAAACATTCTCCAAATAAAAAATTGTACAAGCCGTAATTTTGCGCCAACTGAAACAAGTTGCAAGATCTATTTTTAGCAATGTAAAATGTTTTCTATAAAAATTTGTCATAGTATGTCAATTATTTATTATTATAGACCAATCAATTCCTTTTGTGATTACCAAATGTTTTTTTTTTCTCCCTCCGGATGAATTGTACAATCCTATACAAATTAGTACGTATCACGTTTATATAGAAGCCAAGGCACAAACATCGAAACGAGAGGGCGCAACTACGATTTGTATGCACCTGTGCGCGTTATCCGAATTCCCGTCAAACCCACTCCTGCCTCTCTCCTGGCAATTCTCGACCAATGCACAATGAGATTCAGTCAGTCTGACGCGCGTCTTGGCTGCATTTCGAGTACGTTTTAGACAATTGCCATCACGCACAACCACTCGAAACCCCACAAATGAGGTACAAGACCCTTACCTTGTTCGCAAATTGGCCCTCGATTCATCAAAACACGTGGGAGTGAAAAGATTTATTAAAAACCACGCAAACCGAAGAATGGATTAATCACGTCTCGCGTGATACGTCAAACGGGTAACCCTCGCGGGGTTTGGACAATGAGCTGCTCGCAAATATAGAGGAAAGCCTCCGTACAGGTGGGCACCTACGTGACGATCGGCCCTCTTGGTTCCTTTGTTCCTTACAGCACAGCTATACGCGTGAAAAAATCAAAGACATTGTTCCGAGCTCGCTTGTTCCGATTACTATGTGTATATCTTTCTCTTTGGCTCGAATCGATACACCGACTGCATTGTTCTCGTTGAACGACATGATTGGCTCGGCAGCAGGTACGTCTACAGAGTATGTGTTCCCAGTGCACGTTGGTTGATAAGTATCCGCCGTGTGCCGTTGCTGTCGCGATGACATTGATTAATAAAGCCCGAGCGTCAGAGATAATTCACAAGTGGGCACGTCTCCTCCCACAATTGATGATGCTCGAGGATAGTCCCTTTTTATTCATCATGGTTTTTTTTTTTTTTTTTCAACGGTCTCTGAGTGATTGCTTCTCTGAATAATCTATTTTTTTCTTTTGACTACAAGTACGTACTTTTAATATATATCCTGAGAATATTTTTACAAGAATTCCCTAGGAAATCAGAGAAAAATACGTTTTTAAAAGGCGATTGATTCAACGAGGATCGCTTTTGGTTCTCACACAAACGTACTTATAATATATTATAAAAAAAATTGAAAATAATATACTATAGTATTAAAAAATAGTTTATTAAAAAAAATTTCCCGCAAACTAACATTATTCATGTATACTCGTCTGAACGCAATCATTGTGATATTACAAATATACGGATTAATAAATACCTGGTTTTTCATGTCTTAAAAATATACGGCTTACAAAAATTGTCTCGGATACAAAAAAAGGAAAAAAAAAAAAAAAAAACATTGATAAAAATATTTCTTATTAATATCGTGCTAAAAATACGCCATGTATTCGTGCATGGCACTTTCATCTATCCGCGTTGCTCAAGAAATCAATAATCAGCCTCACAGCTCGTTTGGGCAAGACTCTGAAAAAAAAAAAAAAAACCAACATGTAAACAAGCAATTACCAAACCGACCTCGTATGGACACCAATAGAAATGTATAACGAGGAAGAAACAGCACCACCTATTGATCGTATTCAAGTAGAGGAGGTAACGCGGAATCGTGCATTCCTCGTAGTTCCTCTGCACCGCACGTATGACCTCCTTGGCTGCGTACTTCGGGTGCACGGCACCGAATGTGTAAGGAAATCTATTTAAATTTATGAGATCCATCATTGTATTATCGCTATCGCTGAGAAAGAAACCCAAATTTTGGTAATGGTCTATCTAGCTGTTACCTGTAATTTGGATCCGGAGCGAGTCCCGTGTCCACGTAAAAGGGGTAGACTGTGGTGAAATGGATTTTCGCATCTTTCACGGCTAACCTGAGCTCCTCGACGAGTCCATCCATCAAACCTTTTGCAATTTTATGTATTTTTATCAATTTTTGTCCTGAATAATAAGACGCTCTGCAAAAAAGTTTTGCATAAATGAGCCATCACTTGTATACCTCTGACAGCGTGCTTCGACGAACAGTAGGGCACCTTGTTGGGTACCCCGTAATATCCGCACATGTCGCACATGGAGACGATGTGGCCCTTTTTTTTGTGCAACATGGACGGCAAGAAAGCTTGTATCGTCTAGAAAACGAAAAGATCGTTGGATCGAGCTTGAGAAAAAACTTGTATCGATTGTACAAGTATGGATTTATATGTGTTACCCAAAATTGCGACAACACGTTCACGTCGAACATCCGCTGTATGTCCTCGGACTTGTGTTCTAAAAAAGGCAAGTTCATCAAAACGGCCGCGTTGTTGATTAAAATGGTAACTTCGGGTATGTTGGCCTTCCTCATCAGTCGCACGGCTTCGCGGACCTCCAGCCGCTGCGACACGTCCACCACGAAGCCGTGGGCCTTGCACGATCGAACAAAAAAAAAAAAAAAAAAAAAGAACCGAAAACGTAATTTATAAATAACATGTGAAAATTCAATGACAACCTATTATATTGACAAACTATGTCGCTGGCCCTTTTTTATTCTCTGAAAAAATCGCCACCGTAAGAGTGAAAAAAATGTTTGCGTATCTACAGTATAAATTAATGTTCTTGATTATAGAAATGGCCAAGATGCACTTTTTTGAAGCATGTAGATTAAAATGGCCTACTTTGACTCGATAGCAAAGTCGTAGGATCGAAGCTGTAAATATCTTGGAGCATAATTTTTTCCGATTGTAACACGCAAGACGCGTATTGCACTGTTAAAATCTAACGAGGACTCGGTAGTCGAGACACCGTGACATTAATTAACCCCGTGCGTGGCGGGTAATACAGACAGGTCAATTCGATCCGTCCGTTATAATTAGACGGGGGGGAGACACGTACTCGGGCTCTAATGCATTTGACGCGTGTAGGCATACCTCTCCGCCGTCTTTTGATATGACGCCGATCGTGGCGAGATTTGCTTGGATGTCCGTGTCCCAACAGACGACTATGCAACCCTTCTCGGCCAGCTGCAGTGCCAACTCGCGCCCGATCCCGTGGCCCGCGCCCGTCACCTGACACAGGGAATCCCCAAGAGATGTATTGTTTTCTTTTTTTTTTTTTTTTTTTTTTTTTTCTCAAAAAATAAATAATTCTACGAGTTTGAAACAGAGACCGAGGGGCTGTGCACTTTTTAAGTCATTACAAAAGACTGGCAAAGTCTCTCCACGAGACGTATACAAGTAATTCAAAGTCTCTAAAATTTTACCAAGGACTTTGAACGTCCACTGAAAGATTTTAATGCCATGCAAGGACTTTTGATGACATTTGGTAATAAAGACTGATAAATGGAGTGCCCAGTTTTTTTTCCGAAAAGTACATTGATAATTTCAGTGGATACACTACTTGTTGATTTTTTTCATTTCAGCCACTGAATTGTTTCGTGCGGCCACTTTTTACGCACATCCATACACTCCGTAGTTTAAAAAATATAATGATCGGCGCTTTTAACCCAACGCGCGTTACCATCGTCGTGTCGTGGAAAAATGAATTTTTTGAGCTCGAATGATCGATCCTCTTACCAAAACGGTCTCGCCGAGCAAGCTCTTCTTGGTCGGTGGGACGACGAGTCTGGCGGATGCAAAGAGTATCGCGAAGGTGACTTTGACCGATAGAACGAACAGGTCGCGCGCGAGTCTTGGCCACGGGGCGAGTCTATTCAAGAGCCAACGGAGCTTCCCCCGACAATGAGCCGTTGAAACTTGATTTGGATCTTCTTGCATTTTTTTTTGTCTCTTTATTTTTTTGTAACTGGCTCAACACGAGTTTGGAGTGTACGTAATGCGTATACACGGATAGGTTTGCTTTGTTTTCAAATGAAGTGGGCAGTGGTTGATTGATGGGCAATTGTTTATAGAGAAATTCGATTTTTCTACAGTTTGACTATTTTACATGAATATACTCATCGTAAATGTATAAATGTGGGCTTATCGAGTGATACTTCAATTTTTTTTTCCTTGTCAAACTAATTTTAGCTAAAATATTTGAAAATCAGATGCTTGCTGTTGAAAAAAAAACAAAAAAAAAAAAATTTTTTTAACCACAACCTGAAAATCGTTATTATTAATTCATCGTTTAAGTACAACGCTTACAAAAAAATTCATTTTTTTTTTTTTTACGTGCGTGAGAATATTAGGTACATACGTTAATGAAAATTGCTTCACTTCAAGGGCTTCTTAATTGATTTTATATTTTTGGAGACCATCAATTATTTAAGTATTATACTCATTGGTTGTTTATTAACCAAGTCGATTGGATACACTTAAAAACAGTTTCTTGGAATCAATAAAATATTTACCATATATGTTTAATAGTTCCAAGATACCCTAATTTCTTAAAATAATATTATAATTACTTTTTACTTAGAAAAAACATTAATTTCAAATCTAAAAAAAAATATTCTTGACGTAAAAAAATATTATCTTGTTTCAAGAAAACATATTTGCTTTGTAATATTTTGTACCATAAATAAAATTTCCTACAGTTAAATATCAGTTCATTTTTATTGTAAATACATACGTGAGTTAAAAAACACAAATTTCATAGAGCCAGTCTCGCAAAATGTTACGAGACTCACCCCAGAAAAATTCCCTTACGTTCTACTTCTTCGGTATAAACAAGTAGGGTATTTTCAAGGGTAAGCCCATCAGAAACACACATACGTATACGGTAATTACCCACCCCTTTGCACATAAACCTTCTTACTTAAAAAAAGCCTAATGTCCAAAGTACACAGTTTTTACCAAATTTAGGCGTTGAAAATTATACTCATATAAATACACGTGAGTGCGAGACAATCCCTAAGACTTTTTTTTTTTTTTTTTTTTTTACAATTCGTGACACTCGAAGCTTCGCCGACACAACACACAAATTGCGCAATTAGTCTGCGTGCCACGTTTACTCGTCGGTACTACAAAAGAGGGGCGGAGGGTGAGGGTCGTACCCATCGCGTATACAGCCCGTTAAATTTCATCGAACACTCGCGTTGGAAGACAACCCCGATGCGGGTGAGGGTGGAAAAACGTAGCCGTCATCGCGTGGCTACACAGTGTGTCTGACGATTCGCTTACTTCGTTCACTCCTCTTGACACTCGAGTGTCGGCTCGGCCACTTGTGTACACCCACTCGAGCTCAGGCCGCCGTAGGCGCGACACGTCCTTTACCGCTGTATACGCCAAATCGCTCCGTGACAAGGTGACCATTGGCCATCGCTTGCATACATGTATTATTGCAACAGTATATATATATATATACTTACTCGCACCAAGTACAATATACAGCGACACATCAAAGTTCGAAATTAACATTTTCATCTCCTGCTTCGTTTATGCTGTTGCGCTGTTGTATTACTGTTTTTTTTTCTTTTTTTCTTTTTTCAATTGTTGCTGTCGTCGCTGATAATACAATAATTGTTCGTAGTTGATGTTGTTTTAAGTGTTTGTGTGACATCAGTCGAAACATAATATATTATACGTACATTTGCCACGCGTGCACCGGCTTTGTCGAAAAAACAAGAGCTCCGCTTACAGGTAAGTTTTGACTGTTGTATCGTAAACGTGTTGGTTGTGCTTTGTTATTTTTTTTTCTTTGATTTTTGATAAATTTCATCAATTAGTCGTGCCACTTTTTTTTTTTTTTTTTTTTCTAATTCGGGACAAGTAGGCTTTCATCGGCACTTCAGTGTTGCGGAGCACTTTGCGATTTGATGGCACATTATTTTTGCTCGCGCATCAAAGTCATCGGTAATGGATACTTTGGTTTATTAACGTTTCAATGGAGCTATTTTTAGCCCCGTCGATCGTTCGGTAACCCGCATTCGCGAGTTTTTTTATTCGTTCCTTGCACCGTTAAATTGCACTTGTGGTAAATATCGATCCCAGCTATTATCGAATGGAATATCGTTGGGCTTTTGGCCATTAAAATTGGAAATTAATTTATTTTATAGTATAAATAAAGAAAACCTCAAGTTCTGGACAGTTACAAAAATAAAATTTTGTTAGTACCTGAGTGAGCGTTAAGTCGTAGAGTCTATAAATGCCGCGGTATTTTCATCTCATTTTTTTTTTTTTTTTTTTTTCATCGTGACTGGACAAAAAACATGATAACGTATTGTCTTTGGGCACCTGACCTTTTTATTTTGTCTCATTATTCTCGCAAACTCATCGAAATACCATATTTTCTATAAATAAAAGAAAAAAAAAAAAAAAAAAAAAAAAAAACTGTCTCGTCACGACGATCGAAATGTAATCCACAACTTGAACGATGACTTATGGTACATATATAAATTATTACGAGTGCTTGGACCCCTTGAATTTCGAATTTCCAAAATCGATGTACATATCAAAAGCACAAAAGAGAGAGAAATGCATTTTGCTAATTGATTGCGCTAAATCAAACTCCAAAGGCTTTGTTTGCGTGTTTTTAATCTTTTCTCAAAACAAAAGTTCAACACCAAATGTACATTGAATTTGACCATAAAACTCGTATGGTTTTGTTAGCGTTTCTATACCTATTCATCATTATTATAATTCTTCGTATCCTTTGTGTGTTATACTTTAGATAGCGATCGACCTATTCTCCCATCATGACGATATGAATGATTTGCTCTTTTCAATTACAGCGCTCGTCTAGATATTACCGTTGAAAGCACACAATCCGAGTAGTGTCACTCGTGCGTATTTAATTGGGGAAAAAAAAAAAAAAAAAAAAAAAAAAACACTGCACTATCTTGATACATCAGTAGTACACGTAGGTACGTATGCACACCAAACAAGTTGTACTTTGTACTGTTTCACTCACTCCACGCATCGATCGGTAAAAAAACATTTTGTGCTTCATAACGGCACTACAAATGCTATAGCTACACCAGCTTTCGCTTATACCATATTGGTCAAAACAATACTTGGCTTCCAATGTAAAATTGTGATCAATCCGTGAGTGAATGTAAAATAAATGATCCGCGAGGCGGAAAAAAAAAAAGAAAAAAAAAAACGAAATTTTCCAACAGCTGGCAGGATTCGACGCACAAATCACTCCGATTAGGATGTCGGTACCTATGACGACGATGAACGGCACTGGCGCAACCATCCCAATCAACTCGCGACCCGACGACATCCGAAACCGGGTAATCAAAGGTCAGTTTGTCACTTTTTTTTGCACCACTTCTTCCCTTGTAATCATAAATTGCGTTTTTCTTATGCCTCACTGTGGTTGCGTTATTGAGCGCAAAAAATCCCTCCCGCGTAGTCCGGTATAAAACAAAAAAAGCCCCCCGAGTGCACCGTATCCAGGGATCTATGGATCGATTGCACGGCGCATCAAACGAATACTCGGCTCACTTTGCTCCAGTTTCGAGACCTGAATATTTCAATTCATGGGAATTAACGATTTTTGTCTTCCAACGCCAGTGGGTGCCGTACACGAGCACAGTTCATATCACCCAAAAATTACCACTCGTTCCCCCTTGGACGGTATACAAAAACGAGGTTGAGACGAGCGATGGATGCTTGGACAAAGAATTTTCGAAAAAGCAAACGAAGGGGGGGGGGAAAGGCAAATCCGTACTCGGAGGGAAAAATCGATCGGCTTCATTAAGTTGCCGAGTGTTGTTCAGCAGTACCGTGTGCCATCTTTTCCCGAGCAGCTCTACAGCGCATAATCTGCCCTTGCGTGTCATCGGTGAATTATTTATTAAAACAGAGAAAGAGACGGCTAAACAGTGGCAGGGGGGGGGGATGTACGGAGGGAAGGTCGACACTCGGGGCATTTATAGCTCGCGAACCTGACCGGGTATATATACTTGACTCGGTTTTCCACGGCTTGGAAGCTAGACGTATACTGTTTTTTTTTTTTTTTTTTTCCATCGACTTTTTTTTATTTTTCAGGGGGATAAGGATTATTTTTTTTTTTTGTATACGCTCTTGGCAGGTCACGTTGAAATTACGAGATCAGCGAGTTTCGTCACCGTTGAGCGTGACGTTGCATGTTGCTAATCGGGATCATAAGTTGATGCGGGTTAAAAAATTCTTATCTCGATGAACGAGTAAGCGTTATACTTTGGATTAAATTGTCCTGGTAAATCAATTACCGGTACTACAAATTTTTGAAAAACTTTAACTCAAGCTAAAAGTGACTGTTGCCATACGCATGACAATGACCTTTCGATGACCTGCATCCATTGTTGAAAAAAAAAATTTTTTCTTTTTTTTCTCTTTACCAAAGACGTGAGTGAGAAAATGACTTGGGAAATACCGAGTCAAGATATTTTCATTGAAAACAAACACTCTGCTGAATGTCTCAAGACAGGGAAAGACAGAGAAAGAGTTTCGTTTTCCTAGTTTTTTTTTTTTTTTTTTTCAACCACCTGGCTTTGCGTATAGTCGCAAATTACATGAGCTTAAAGAAACAAGCTGTCGTATGATTATTCGTTATTATTATTCCCTCATAGTAACATTCACGGCAGTTTGAATTCGAGCTGAAACTAAAAACATTTCCATCGCCAATGTTAATGATTATTGTTGTAGAAGCAGGAACTCGTTAATACCTACGTATAGTATAGTAAATAACGCATAATGTGACGCACGCACGTAGTTGGTATGAACTTTTTTTAGGTAAGCTCGTGGGTGGGTAAAAAGGTTGCACGTCTATGTCTACGATTGATTTTTTAAACCGAGTCATTTGCGTGGATACTTTATGGAATAAAACTTAAAAGGTGCTTAAACATCGCTCGTAAATTTTCGTCGCTTTTTTTGTTGCGTATCGATTGATTCGTTCAAACCTTTACACGCGTCTGTATACTCAATTCCCATTGATTAATAATCAAGTGCTCGTAATGCGCCGCGATATATATATACACGTACCGTCGTTTAATTTAATTTTCCACGGTATACCTATAACGACTAACTCGTCAACACGTTTTTCCCAACATCAGGTAAATAGGCAATGGAGCGACGAATTTTCTATCCCCCCTCACAATGACAACAGCTATTAAAACAATTATTGTAAAGGCCCTAATGATTATCGACATCGACGTACGTATCTATAATAACGATGGACAAAACGGACGACGCGTATAGTCCTCGAAACGTATATATATATCAAAACGTAATTAATAATTACAATCGTTGATTACGCCAACATGCGTCCTCTAAGCTCTTAAACCCACGGCTAGGGAAAATATGTTTTTTTTTTTTAAAACAACTCACGCACTAGCCGTGAAACGAATGCATGTATTGCTCTTATGTACCTTATTCAGAACTCATGAAAATTTCCATTACTTATTCAACTTTGTAATTGCGTGATGTTTCTGTTTTATGCAGAGTATGTAGGTATACCGGGGAAAAAGAAAATAAACTCGATTCTGATGCGTTTGGGAAATTTGAGCTGTACGCTTGTGTAGGCCTGGTCGATCTTAATTTTTTGTACTTTTGCGCAGAAGAAAACTGTCTCGTACCGGTTATTGCGTGAATACTGTATTGAAAGATAAGGGTGTACATGTTCATAAAGTTTGTAGTAGTGATGCCTAACAATTTTCGATTGAGCACAGTTTTTTTTTTTTTTTTTTAATTACCGGAGAATCGATAAAGAAATAATGTTTAATTTATGAATTTTTAATCATTGCATGACAAACACATTCCATTATCATCATTAAAAAAGTATTTTTACCTCAACCATCCATTAGATCAATTATAGATAAACTCGTGGCCCCGTCAAATTTTTTCTCCGATGAACCAGCTCGCTTCAGCCTTTCATCTCCTTTTTACTTTCCCAAGTGATAAAAATACCGTCGTGCTTGAAGCTAAAAATAACATTTACAAAAAGTAAAAAAAAAAAAAAAAAAGATTAAATATACTCATAAAGTTTTCTTCGAATGATTTAATTTATAATTTTACCACCCACCAGCGTGTTAAATAAATAAAATTTCCACTTTAGCTTTCCAATACTTGTTTTCAACGAATCGCCTCGCTAGGAATTTCCAACATCGATTTTCACTCCAAGAAGACAATGGCTTATCGATTAATAATTAAGTTGGATTTGGTTGACTTACGAAAACACCTTGATAGTTAAAAAAACGTCAATTTACCCAAACCTGTGACTTCGGGAAAGTTCAAAAACACCTAAGCTACCTATTTCACTGAAAAAAAAAAAAAAAAAAAAAAATTAATCCATCACAATCGACGTAAATTGTTCCGTCCTGTAAACACCCAAAATCTCAGTTTTTCCACAAACACGACAGAGAACAACTCCCCTTGTTCGCGAACTTTTTCTTACGCCTATACATTTCATTCGTCACCGTTCTCCCTTTCGATCCCATTACCCAACTTTTCCACCCTTTTTGTGTTTCTCCGATCGAGCGCGTGACCTGCACCGCACAGAAAAAGGCACAAACTCTTCTTTTTTTTATTTCTTCATTTGTTTATGATCCAATCGCAAGGGTTTATGTACACAAAGACACGTGGAAGCGAGTGCACAAATAGTCGTGGAAATCAATGGCACGTTGTACGGGTACACGCGCTCCGACGAACCGAAGCACGGTAGCCCGGAACTTCCGAGCCAATAAATGGCGACGACCTTTCGTACGAGCAAGACACGGAAACGGACGTATACACATTTTTCTTTTTTTTTTCTTTTTTTTTTTTTTTTTTTTTTTTNAATTAATTTTCCATTCGACAAGAGGCTATATATTGTATTATTTTACACAGGGACACAAAAATGTCAAGTTGGCGAACGCGAGTCTCGAAAAACAACACTTGTTTTCCCTCCTAGTTTTGATTTGCACTTAACCCATGCAGTTTCCGGGGCGAAGCACGCGGACGGAGATTCGTGGCTTGTAAAATTTGAAGCGGTACTATACGACCAAAGTTTTCCAATTATGGAGTTACCTGAAACAGTGCAACGCTATCGCTGATGAGTTTTCATTGAAACTTTACCGTGAGGCGGAATAAATAAATAAAAAAAAAAATCCTCTGGAGGGCATAAGTGATTCATTGAAATGCAAAACAAGAGGATAAGGGAAATATGCGGTCAAAGGAACTTTCAAAGCAAAAGTAAAAAAAAGCTCTCTGCCGAGTAGAGCACGAACAACTCCACGAGTATAATATGTTTTAATATTTAATCAGTTTCCTGCAATTTTCATGCTCTTTGCAATATTTTCTGGGAAGAAAAATTTGAAGCGGCTTTATCTTTTAGATCCACATTTGACTGAATTACCCGAATCATCAATATTGCAGGCACGCAGTAGTAACACCCTCTCTTTCCATATACCTATAGCGAGTTAAGTCATGTAATGTGTGTATATCCGCATTAAAATTCGTACACTTGATAATTTAACAACGGAAGCTTGGACGAGCTGGAAGTTGAGAAGCAAAAAACCCTTTCGTCAAATATGCCTACGGAAACTCCAGGGCATACCAAGTGATCCGACTCATCCACATATTGCGATCGATAACTCAATCTAAGATATTATCAATTAATTGTATTAGAAAATGTTACACTTTTTGAACTTCAACTTAATTTGTTTGCATCGTAAAATAACCAAAACAAGTAACATTATTAGATCCATTTTAATTAGCAACGTTGCAGGTATACAGCCAAGCTCTTGACAGACAAATCTCTCGTCCTCCCTAAAACCACCGATCAACCACCACGTGTCTCTCCTCTCACGCGCGCAATCAATAAACCTCGTCTCGGGAAAAATACACTTCCCATGTACATACGCGCACACAGTAAACAAATATTTAAAAAAAAAAGAGAGAGAACTCGAATCATCCTCGGTACGAAAGCACCCACTTTTGCTCTCGGGATAACAAAATAAACTTCGTGAAATCGATGCCGAACCATCGATACACAACCCCACCCCCCTGACCGCCACTTCGTATACCACGTTTGCTCGGGGAAAATTCTGACCCAAGGGGGAAAAATTCGCCCTCTTGTTTCCCTTTGGACCACGGAGGTCGTTTCTCCTCACTTCCCCCCCCCCTCCCCAAGTCGTGGGTTATATAGGTGGGGTATGAGTGTTTGATGAAGCCCCGACGTGCGTGCACGTAATACACACACGGCAAGGGTGACTGGGCTCACTGCGCATGGCCAGCTGTGCTCCTCTGTGCACCACCCCCCGGTAAAAACTCAAAATTGATAAATGTCTCTGGTTTTTGTTATTTATAATACTCAGTTAATAGGTAGCCGGATGAATACAAAGATTAGCTCATCGCGTGTGTTATCCGGATCATTTATTCTCGTGATGGCGAAATAAGTTTCAATCACCGCAAGCTCGGCACGTTCCTCGTCGACATAAATAATGTTACTTTGACCGTGTAGCCACAGACCCGTGTGTTGTTACCTTGGCACAATGTCATTCGAGGAAGTAACATGCACACTTGCTTTTTGTACACTCGTCGGATGAACAAAATGA